CGGACTTGAGAATATAAGACTGAAGAATATAACAGATTTAGAATTGAATAAATTGCGACTGGTTTGGCGCAATTTTTCTAATTTTATTATATTTTTAAGTCTTTTCTACCCGTATTTTATATATAATTCTTTAAGATTTGATTGATTAGTTCTTAAGGCATCCTGTCTTTTTATTACAAGAGCGTTCAATAAATTTATTCAATCGCAATCTGTAAACAAAACACTGTTGCTGCTAAGGTGACGACAAGCGTCTTGAACATTCAAAGGAGTATGGATGTGTTAAGAATTGATGAAACTTGACAAGTATTTGAAGTAGATGAAGTTGTAGTTATTCTTTAATTAAATAAAGATTAAATACTATTCTTTTTAAATTTAACATATCTTTAAGATGCTGTGATGTAATTGTGTCCGAAATTATTTTTCTAATACCAAAATTAGTGGTTGCTATAATTTTGGTACTATAGGTACGGATCATGCCCCGATCATGGCTTAATTGTCTAGTTCATGCCCCGATCTTGGCTTAATTGTCCGGATCATGCCCCGATCTTGGCATAATTGTCTAATAGATCATGTCCCGATCTTGACTTAATTGCTTGAATTATAGCGATTTTAGATCATGATCCGATCTAGACAATTAAGCCAAGAATATAATAAAATAAAACTATAAATAACCCGATATTTCGAAATTTGCTACACATATTTCCAAAAAGATTATGGACCTTTGATCGCATATAAAAATGGATCTAATCAATCAAATCTTAAAGAATTATATATGAAATAGGGGTTAAAAAAAACTGAAAAATATAATAGAATTAGAAATAGATCGATATCTCAAATATTGAGAAAGCTACAGCGTAAAACACGCTTTTCTGAAAAATAAAAATCCTCTTAAAATCTATACCGGTCGACGGATTTGAATAAAATTAGAGGAGAACATACTTTCTATGATACTGTATTTGTGTGCAAAATTTCAACCCGGTATCTAAAAAATTGTAGAAGTAAATGCGTGTACAACAAAATAGATGTAGAATCGATTGTATTTTGCTTATAGATTATTGTAGTGCATTCATTTTCGTTTGTTAGTCCATAATTATATTTTAATTAAATATTTAAAGTGTTAGTCGCTATAACATCATAAGATACATCAACATATTATAAAATAAAAAAGCTCGTTTGTAGTTAATTGTATTTTGTTTGTAGAGCTTTGTAGTAAAGTTAAAAAGTTTTGTAGTCTCTTTAAATTGTTTATAATTAATAAATACATTTGTCGAACTGTGTAGCTATAGTTAATTAATTGTCGGACATAGTTTAACAAATGTATTTATTGATTATAAACAATTTAAAGAGACTACAAAACTCTACAAACAAAATACAATCGATTTCACACCTAATTTAAAAAAAAAGTGTCAGTCGTCTAATATTATTACAAATTCCTGCCTCTTCTCAAAGGTCAATACGGTCCGTTGTTCGTTTCGAATTACGCAAGAAGCGCATAGGGCCGACATCACAGTTTCCGATTAACGTGATCCTCCGATTAAACTCACTCTTCATCTCTTTCTAAGGGTATAGTTAGAAAGAGATGCAGAGTGAATTTAATTGGAGGATCACGTTAATCGGAGACTGTGATATCGGCCTATAGACCACATAAACGCATCAGACGCATCAACTGCCTCAAGTCGAAATAGAAGCGGTCAATGCGCTGGCTGGGAGGAGTGCTAAGAATTCAGTACGGTTAGTACAATCGAGGGAATTCTCTGCACTACCAAAACGCTTCCAATGCGCGCATTGATTAAATTGGAACGACTTTCCGAATTACGCATGAAGCGCGTAGACTGCATAGAAAGTCGTTCCAATTTAATCAATGCGCGCATTGGATGCAAATATAAAATATAAAACTTTAATACACGAAATAATATTGCAATAAATATTATGAAAAATAGGCCTCTTAGAATACTTTACGGGAAGCTCAGATATATTGCGACGTGATATCTCCTTGGATTCATCCGAAGAGAGTTTTATACGGTTTGCATATTTCGAATGACGGATTACCTACAGAGATTCATTTTTATGCATCAAATTCTCTCTCGAAATACTCTCCTTAGAAACCCTTCTTATGTAACTGCAAATAACATCGGAACAAATTTATTTTTTATTATTAACAGAATAAAGAGATTTTAATATTACTTAATGTTGATAATAATACCTTCCATCCCTACAATATTCCATTACAATACAATATTCAAAAAAATGTCCTTGCAGATAATCTACATCCAAGTGTGCATTTTTGAAATCTGCTGTTAAATTATGAATATCATGGTGTGAAAAGTACATGCGGTTAATTTCTTTTAACAGATTAGTTAAAGGATAATAATTTCTAGGACGAACCAACTCTGATGTACAACCTATAAACATCACCGCATCTAGCTTTGTGCAAAGAGGTATTTTACGGGAACTGTAATTAAAAAATAGTCTTAGCATTTTCGTTTTAAAGTTACGCGGGTAATATAAGGGTGGGGAAAATAATATTGGGGGTATACAATCTTAGACTTATAATCAGTTTCCCACAACTTAAACCACTCATTATTAGAATCGTCTTGAGCCGAAATTCGAATTACGTTTCCGTTTGTACATTTCGTACATAGAAACTCTGATTGGATATACAGCTTCATGAAACTCGATATCTTCAAAAAAGGAAATATAATTATACTTTCTTCTCAACAAAAGCGTATCTTTTATAACAATATCTTACTTGTGAATCAGGTATCACATACCAATATAATCATGTTCAAGACCTTGCCATGGCGCCCTTCGTATACTATGTAGATCTGTCATGGATTCGTCTTCGTATTGCCACGAAGTTATTGAAATGACGATATCATTATTCCATCGATTCAACTTCTGTTTTGAAAAGTCAAAATGTATCAAATAGTAGAAAAAATCTTGTAGCATATAACATATAAATTTAGATTCCGATTACTTTGTACAGGACAATATAACGGATAATACACATACTATGAAATATCTTTCTCCATTAAAACACTAAGAATAAAATAAGATAATTATTTAGTTTAAAGGAGCAACCTTCTACGACCTTGACCTTGACATATATATTATAGGGAGCACTCTCCTGAGTGACCTTCCAAAGGTTTTAGCCGTCGTTCGTTATTTATTAAAACGTTATTAACAAAAAAGTTTGAGAAATATAACAGTGCTAATTAAGAAAAGTCAATTTGCTGATATATAGGTTTATAGACAGTACACATGTGGGCGAAAGAGGAATTTCGCCTCTCTTTTTAGCAGGGATAGACTAGAGTTCCTCTAGTAATTAAGAGTCACGACTCCGCGTGATAACTCCTGATTGGTCCGCCATCAATAAGGAAAAAGTTAGTGGGAGTGAGACAAAGCTATAACATCCAAATGAAAAGTACGAGAGTGGGGAGGCTGTCTCTCTCGATCGTTCGCTATTAGATCGGATCTCTAGTAATTATTAATTACGGGCGGTGTCGCAACTCTTACTAGAGGAACTCTAGGGTGGACCCCGTTTTGCCCTGTAAACAGAGATAGAGTGGGGTAAGCCTCGCTTAGAAAGTTAAACCGTACAATGATAGATCTTGTCTTGCCTAGTGAGCAGAGGTGGAGTGGAGATGACATCGCTTTTTGTGTGAAAATGAAACTTGAAAACCCGTATTGTACCATGATAGACCTCTAAACGAGAACTGAATGTTTGCATGTAAAAAAGAATCAAAAAGTGCGATAGTTCTATCTATACGGTGTTAAAGAAATCTATATTCTATTTATTATATCTTTTAATTGTTAATAACTTTTTAATCAATAACGACGGCTAAATCTTTGGAATGTTACTCGGAAGAGTGATCTTGGCAACATATGTCAAAGGTAAAATCATGGAGGGAAATTCGTCTATTTAACATTCTAAATAATTACCTGAAATAGTTCTCCATAGTTTGAAAATTTGGGTGGTCCGATTATGTCAGGGGCAGTATGAAATGCACTAAAATCAGAGTTGATTTTAACGTGTCTTCTCTTCACAAATTGATAGATGAAGTCAATTTTAATATTCTCTTTTTTTATGGATTTTTTACCGATATAAGGATATCGATCACAACTCTCACAATGCAAAATTTGGTAATTGGATGTCATATTTTCTCTCTGAAAGAAGACCAAAAATATGGAGAATAATAATCCTTGCTTTTGTAACATATGC